GGGTACACTTATCTTTTGTCCATTGTCTTCGCTACAGCTACAGCTACCACACGCTGCCTGAGACTCACTTGTTCCAAATTGGAACTACTTCCCTCCCTCCCTTGTTTGACTAGGTGGTCCAGTACAACCAGTCCATTGGGAAGGCCATGGAACCGTCGGATTTGGACTAGGTGGTGGACCGGTGGCTCCAGTTTCTTTTTTTCAGCAGAACATTCATTTACAGTGCAATTAATTTTGATTTTTGAATCATTTTTATGGACACATATTTTTTTTTAGAATGCCTGACTGACAATAAAGGAACTGTGTTGATACTGATATTTTTTTGCCTCGCCCTTTTTTTACTGCATTTTCCCATGACATCATGATTTTCCTGCTCTCTTTCTGCTATTGGACATTGCTTTATGGCTGTACAAACCTGTAACATTACTTACACAGCATTCATTGTTCTATCTCTTTCTTTTCCTTATTTTGACAATCTTATCCTGTACTACCTACACAGGATTTGTCAGCGTACATTCCTTCCTTCATGTTCTTTCTCATTCTTTTTGCACAGCTATACTGTGCATAGCCTACTTTTCTTTTACTATATGAACCCCTGTATTTTACTTTGTAAAAAAAACAAGAACTCCAATCCAGACTTCTTCTCTAATCTCAAGTTCACTACTCTCTGCTACTTGTGATACAGTGTGGTCACAACACTTCCCACTGCTACTACTGTCAACTGCTGTCATTGTCACTTGTCACTTCCAAAGTCATTATTATCCCTTTCAATTAGAGTCCTTCTGAGCACTACAGTCTGTGTGTCAGGAGCCTGCTATCATTGGGAACCTCATCACCCTGTCATCTTGTCGTTCTCAAACCTACCTTGCGCTACCATTAGCAAGGTAGTGCTTGTCCATACTCGTCACCAAGCCCCCATCCTCTATAATTCAACTATCCCTCCTCCTCAAAACCCACACCCATACATCCTTGGGTTTGACTTTGAAGGATCATCATACGTACCACTCCACAAACAACCAGACCACTCCACTGCTCTAGGAGGCAAAGCCCATAAACAAGTTCCATGGAATCTGGGAGGATTGTGTGTTAGTTTGTTTTGTGTGTGGTTTCCTAACTACAGTTCTCATCATCAACACCGCATCTCCAAGGAGATGTTCTACAAGCAATAGAACCATATCAGCATGAAGGTGTTCCAAGAGTAGTGGGAGCACCTGATCAGCTAAGACACCCGCCACAACAGTCTCTACAACCAAGACCCAAACACTGGCCATCTTCAGAAAGGAAAGCCAAAGTAGAGTCACAGTCAGTGGGAGGACAGCTCCTTAACATACAGCCAGCTGATGTGGAAAAAGTCTGAATACAGCTAGACAGCCTGTCCATCAGATCTGCTTCTGGAAGGCATACAACACCTCCAAGGAGACATTCAACACCTTCAGGAGTGAGTGGGGCAACACACACACAAATGCGTCTACTCCCTGGAGTACCTGCACAAGTGCCTAAAAGAGCAGTCATGCCGACTCTAGATGAGGAACAGTCTTGAAAAGAGCAGCACAACAACTCCATGGAGAAACCTAACACTCCTGAGGTTCACGAAGAAACATCTGATACAGAGGAGATATTCTTTGCTGGAATAGCAAGTACTGGTCCATCTAACACAGACCTTCAAAGGACACTAAACAAAGCCTTATCACATCTGGATGGAGAATTATAGAAGTCTGCCTTGGAGGAGGAACTTCTAAGTCTCAATACTAATGCAGTATATAACACTGTCCCACTTCCAAAGGGAGTGAAACCTATCACATCAAAACCTGTGTTCTGGATCAAGTTTGATCAAAACAGAAACATTGAAAGATACAAACTCCTGATTGTTGCACTTGGTTTTACTCAAAGGGAGGGGATTGATTACCAGGAAGTTTTTGCTCCAGTTGCAAACTTAGAGTCAATCCAAATTATTCTAGCCCTAGCAGCAAAGTACAACCTAGAACTTGATCAAATGGACATATCCACAGCTTATCTCAATGGAGAACTTGAAGAAGAACTGTACATGCTTCCTCCAGGGGGTGTTCCTATCCAACCTGGATACTACTGGAGGTTGAAGAAATCCATCTACAGATTAAAACAAGCTAGTCGTACATAAAACAAAACCTTTGATTGCAAGCTCCAGGAGCTTGGTTTCACAAGACTAAATGCAGAAACATGTCTCTATGTATTCCGGGACAACAAACAAATATGTTTTGTTGTTGTCTATGTAGATGACCTCCTCCTAGGAGCTTCATCCCGGAAATTCATGGATATCACAAAAGCCAAACTTGAATCCATATTCAAAATGTGGGACCTTGGAGAAGCAAAATACATCCTTGGAATAGAAATCCAACGTGATTGTTCAAACAAAACAATCTCCCTATTGCAACGCCAATACATTGACACAGTCCTGGAGCGTACTGGAATGAAAAACTGCAAACCAGTATAGACACCAATGACCTATGGATCAAAACTCCTTGCAAACGCTCCAGGGGAAGATATTGTGCAACACAAGATGCATATTGAAGGGCGTCAAGTGTCATACCTCTCAATTGTAGGCTCCCTCATGTATGCCATGCTCGGAACCTGCCCAGACATTGCCTACGTTGTTGGAATACTAAGCAGACATAGCTCAGCTCCAAGGAGCTATCACTGGGAAGCTGCAAAATGTGTCCTCAAATATCTGAAAGCAACCAGGGACATGGAACTACAATATGATGGCTGTTACGCATGAAGTGCTTAACAAAGTCTGAGGTTCATCAAGGTTTCAAAGAGACTTATCCGAAGACAAGTTCAAGAACATAGTTCTGAGTAGAGTTCTTCCAACAAGAGTTGGTCTTCTTCTGAGTAGAATTCTGGTCTTAGGTAGCTTTGTAAGCGTAAACTGCGTAGAATTGTATTGAAAAAATACTACTACTGTTATAAGCATATTTATAGGAAATAGAATTGGCAATAGGAGTTAGGTCCTATCTAGGGGAGGTCTGTCTGTTGAGGACTAATTACTATATAAGGTAATGTGAATGCAAAGAGAACGGAGATGTGCGTGAAGGAAATGAGTCACCAGTCCAATAGTATAACCAATGAGTAAAGGAAAACAAGTAGTCCGTAAAAAAGAATAGAAATTGTAACAATGGCACAGATGTCTCCATGGACATGGATTTCTATGGATATTCAGATGCAGATTGGTCTGGAGACCCAGACACATCCCGATCAACATCAGGCTTTGTTTTTATCACCATCCGAGGAACAATCTCCTGGACAAGCCAAAGACAAAGCATGGTAGCTTTATCCTCCACGGAGTCAGAGTGCATTGGATTGAGCAATGCCGGACAACACCTTGCATGACTTCTGTAAGGACCATTCATTTTCTTATCTTCTCACTCCATGTCTTGGTTCTCAAATGCTTTTCCTGTCACACCTCTGACTTTAGGGCTGGAGAAATCTTTGGCTATTCTGCTTCTCATAGCCCTCACAGGCTTTCTCAATCATTGTTACCACTTTATATCGCAGATCAGAGACTGGGTATTGCGCCCAGCCAGCACAATGGGTAAGGACTGGTGGTAAGCATCTCACCAACCAGCTCCAAGCCCCATCAGTGCCTGGAGATACTAATAGACACTTTAGCCAGGATTGTACCTCATCATGAGGATACGGTTCCTGGACATGCATGACAATACTTATTATTAGTACACGTTCTCACCTGCTGATTAATCTTCAAAGTTGTACGATAGTTGTCCCTTTTTCTTATTGGTTGATTCTCCCCTCAGACCTCTTTCCTGTTATTCCTCTTTCGGTCTGAGGGATAGACGGTTAGCTATATAGAGCCTTATCTATTCATGTATAGTCCTTAACTTTCTATTACTTGAATTACCCGCTTTACTCCTCATCAGAAACCTCTGAGTCTACTCCCATATCCTCTACTTGCTATATTCACTAGCATCTGTTGATCTTCAAGACTCACTGTACCTCTTACTCCCTGCAAGTGCAGTCGGAGATAGGTAGTGTTTTTGTTATAGTTTATTGTTGCCTCACAGCTTCGGACATTTTTTGAAGAAATTGGACATGCTCAAAATGGACCTACAACATTGCACTGTGACAATCAAGCAGCTATCATTCTTACATGAGATCCGCAGTTCCGTGCTCGCACAAAACATATTCAACGGAAATATCATTTTATCCAAGATGACTTAGTATCAAAGGGAGAGGCAGTAATCAGATATGTTCCTACAGGAGATATGGTTGCCGACATTCTCACTAAACCCCTCACTCACGAAAAACACTGGAAATTCTCTAAAGCTATGGGACTACGGTTGCACTTGAGTGGGAGTGACAAAACCGGATAAACCCGGTCTCTGCTAAAGCAGCCATTGTTCTCCATGGAGTCACCATTGTACTCCTAGGAGTCATTATACTGTAGCGAGTAGCACCTCCAACTATAAGTAGTAGGGGGTTTAGTATAGAAATACCTCAGTCGTTTCTATAGCCTCTTAGGCAGCAGCTGAGGTATGTTACATTACATTTATTAGAGGTCATCTTAAACTAACATCTATTGTAGTTTCACTTAGATTTATTATCAAGTTAGGCACTAAGGTCTGCAGAAGGGCCTAGCACATGAGCTAAGCTAACTCCCAACCTTGTACTCTGTTCTGCTCCCACAGTGCACCCCTGTCCTCCAAACTCCAACGGTTCTGAAGGTCACCTTTCTGACAATGATTGTGGAACTTGAGAAAAACAAATGTGGTATAGGGGATGAAAGGAAGGACTGATACTTATTACTCAAAGGTGCAGTGCTGTTTTTGACACAAATATTTTCTTGGGTGTGAAAATGACTATATTTTAATATGTCTGATGGGCAGTGGCGCAAGTGGCGCGCCTTTACAAATTTAAAAGGGTCTGACTATAGTACCCGAGCCGAAGTAGGCTATCCGATTATGTAACTGTCAGGACGATTAGATCAATCGCAAACTGGGAAACTTTCTGCGACAATAAAATGGAATCTTTTGAAACCTATCAAACACCTCTGTCCAGGTGAGTATCTATTTTACAAAACTAACCAGTCTACTTAATTGTTACTTCATAGTCGATATGCGAGCAAGGCAATGGCGTACCTCTTTTCCCCAGCAGTGCGTTTCTCGATGTTTAGATCTGAGATGGTGTATTTCTAAAATTCGGCCTGAGCTAGCATCGATTTCATACATGGAGAGAACTATGGCTAAGCCTTGCGATTGCTGAAAAACAGCTTGGTCTGCCGATTTCAGATGAAGCAATTGAGCAAATGAAGGCAAACCTGGTTAGTCCCTGTTCTGTCTTTTGTAATCTGATCGTGTTTAAAATGTTCCGGATATCCTTGACTTATGCTCCATTGTTAGGACCTTACGCCTGAGCAGTTTGACACTGCAGCAAAAGAAGAGAAAAAACGTCGCCATGATGTTATGGCCCATGTGCATACATTCGGTCAGGTTGCGCCAGCCGCAGCAGGTATTATCCAGTATGTTACTCAACTAGTGCATCTTTCCAGGACGAATATGCTGACAAGTGCCCGATCCTTGCAGTTTGGGGGCTACATCTTGCTATGTGACCGAGTACGTGCATTCATTGTAACTGTTTTAACTTCATCATGATTTAGCTTTTCCCCATCAGTAATGCCGACCTTATATTTATTCGCACTGCCCTCACATACCTTATGCGTTCATTGGCTGTCCTTATATCCCGTCTATCGGCATTTGCAGCACAATATCGCGCGCTTCCAACTCTTGGGTTCACCCATTTCCAACCAGCGCAGCTGACCACAGTAGGCAAAAGAGCAACGCTGTGGATCCAGGTTCGTTCGTTCATTCAAGCTACTCCTGCTACCTTATTCAGCAAGGAACTATCCCATAGGAACTTCTGTGGGATCTCCGAAACATTAAGCGTTCCCGTGATGATATAGGTTTCCGCGGTGTCAAAGGTACTACTGGCACACAAGCTAGTTTTTTGGCCTTGTTTGATGGCGACCATGACAAGGTACTGTTGATCAGTCTGGTATTGTATCCGCGTATCTGAGTAGATGGGTTTTAATCAGGTTGAGGAACTGGATACCCTGGTAACCAAGTTATCGGGTTTTGAATACGCATATCCTGTGACATCGCAGACCTATTCTCGGAAAATCGACATCGACGTTCTCTCTCCGTTGGCATCATTGGGAGCTACGGCACATAAGATTGCGACTGATTTGCGTTTGTTAGCCAATTTGAAGGTATTACTATCAGTCTTCGTATTATCATCACCCCTTAGACTGGTGTGTTGTTTGTGCGAATTAGGAAGTGGAAGAACCATTTGAGTCTACGCAAATTGGTTCCTCTGCAATGGCCTACAAGCGGAACCCGATGCGTTCTGAGCGTGTCTGTAGTCTCGCAAGGCATCTCATGACGCTGCACCAAAATGCTCTCATGACTTCGAGTGTCCAATGGTTCGAGCGTACCCTAGATGATAGGTGAGGCTTTGCGACCTGCTTTGGGTGTTCTATAATCTGACTCTGTCCGCTAGTGCCAACCGTCGGATCACCCTTCCCGAAGCATTCCTGACAGCCGATATAGTGCTATCGACGCTCCAGAATGTCTCCGAGGGGCTTGTGGTATATCCCAAAGTCATTGAACGTCGTATATCTCAAGAGCTGCCTTTCATGGCGACCGAAAATATTATTATGGCCATGGTCAAGCAGGGTGGGGATAGACAAGAAGCTCATGAAAAGATTAGGGTAATTGCGAATATCTTTATTCCGCTTCTTTTCTTTCATGCTAACCGAACTCGCAGGTGCTCTCCCACGAAGCTGCATACCAAGTAAAGCAACTCGGTTTGGAAAATGATCTCATTGAACGCGTGCGGAACGATGCCTATTTTGACCCTATCAAGGGACAGCTGGAGGAGCTGTTGGATCCGCAGAGCTTTGTCGGCCGTGCTCCCGAGCAAGTTGACAAATTTCTGAGGGAGTGGGTAAGCCCAGCCCTTGATGATGGTGAACTAAAGGAGGCCATTGAGAAAGGTGGGAAGATCGAGCTGCATGTTTGATTTCATCCATGTGTGTTCAGACCAATAGGGGTTAATAAATAGTGTATTGGAGCTGAAGGAGATCATGGGTCATGATGTGTACAGCCCAGCATGATTATCATTCTCCACTGATGGCGGTGAATGTCACAAATAGCCTCTCAGCTGTGATATGGATTTTCACTGAGGCAAAGTGCAGACGCCGAAGCATCAGCATGCTGTCACAGGCTGTCAAACTGAGGCAGGCAACCACAATCGCGGAGATATCGGTGTTTGAATAGTTTATTGTCCGCCAACGCGTGTTCGTTGTCGCCACTGGTGGCGGAACAGCATCCCTCCTTCTCTGTCTTCCTTCAGATTCGTATTATTTGCAGCTTGAGACTTGCTTTTGAGGCTCATAAATACCGGAAAGGGACCCTTAGAACAGTGAGCAGCCTTTCTTGCATTTGCAGTGCGTTTTGTGCTCATTTTGCACGTATCAAGGCGCGCCATCATTTCGCACGCTGGTGTCCAGGGTGTCCTTTGTCGGCATATATCACATCAACCTTTCTTCGCTATTTCTTGTACTTATCCACCCCAGCTATTTGCTCTTTCTCTCTTCTAGTTGAGGAGTACTTCGTTATATACAGCCTGAGAGTCTCTGTCGTAAGTCCGACTTCATTCAGCCGTTTCGGTTATGTTCTGTCCATCTGGCTGAGCATTCCCCACGCCGACGCGCTTTTATATCTGCCAGTGTATTAAACCCCCGTCCCTTTTCGGCTCAACTCTGCATCTTTTTCCCGTGCAAGGATTTCTCAGCTAGCCTCCCATCTACCTTCTCCTGGTCGCCATGGACAGTCTGCAAATACCTGATACTTCCTTCCCTGGCCCTTCGCGGCAATACGGTTCATCGAGAGCTACATCAGTCGCGGTGCAGCCATCAGCAGCAGCAGCACCTCAACCATCGTCGTCTTCCCGCAGACAACGAGCATCTCATACTGTCGTCTCTTCTCAGCAGCAACAACAGCAGCAGATTGACGATCAGCCTGCCTATCGCGACGTATATTCACATCCTGCCGCAGTTGCTTACGCAGCGGCTCATCCACGTCGCACTATACCCAAATTTGGTCCCTACCTTCTGTTGCAGACGCTTGGTGAAGGGGAGTTTGGGAAAGTAAAACTTGGTTTGCATAGTCAATGGGGCGAAGAGGTAGCTGTGAAGCTCATTCGGAGAGGCAATATCGATACAACTGTGCGGATGTCCAAGGTTGAACGTGAGATTGAAGTGTTAAGGGTAAGTTATCTGCTGAGATGGCGTTTTTGTACTCATCCACGTATCCAGAACTTGAAACATCCCAATATCGTTCGACTATACGATGTTATCGAGACGGACAAATACATCGGCATTATTCTGGAATATGCTTCTGGTGGCGAACTTTTCGACCATATCCTTGCTCATCGCTATCTGAAAGAAAAGGACGCCGCAAAGCTCTTTTCTCAGCTTATCTCAGGTGTTTGGTACATACATCACAAGAAAATCGTTCATCGCGATCTCAAACTTGAAAACTTGCTATTGGATCGTCATCGCAATGTCATCATCACTGATTTCGGTTTCGCCAACCGTTTTGAGCATCGCTCAGATGATCTTATGCAGACTAGCTGTGGTTCCCCATGTTATGCTGCGCCGGAGCTTGTTATCTCTGAAGGCCTCTACGTTGGTTCTGCCGTCGACATATGGTCATGCGGAGTTATTTTATACGCCATGCTTGCGGGATATCTTCCCTTTGATGATGACCCTGCCAATCCTGATGGCGACAACATCAACCTGCTATACAAATATATAGTCAACACTCCTCTGTCCTTCCCTGACTATGTCTCTGCCGAGGCCAGAGATCTCCTTTCGATGATGCTCGTACCAGACCCTACCAGGCGGGCAGACTTACAAGCAATCATGGCTCATCCATGGTTGTCTGGTTATGCTCAGATGTTTGTCAAAGGTGTCGATGAGCTTGAACGAGCTGCAATGGAGCAACATCAAATGAAGAGGCTTGCCTATCAGAGGCAAATGAGGCAAGCGGCTGCGGCTGCCAACCATCTCGCGCCTAGTAAAGTATCGCGGACGCAAAGTGCCCAAGTGGATGGTATTGTCAGTACTTCGTCTTCGTCGCCAAGGAGTCGCTCATACAGAGATCAACAGCCTGAATATCTTTACGAAACATCGGTGGATCAGTCCATCTATTCGTCACCTCCTTCAAATGTGAACGCCAGCGTTTCTCGAAGAGGAGTCAGTTCATCTGTTGTTGCGCCACCGACGCCTCATCTGTCCATCGACGACGATCCCTTCGCGCCTTCTGGTGCCCATGCACAGTCTATTGTTAATATTCCCGTTACTGTATCTCAGCCTGATGAGAATCTGGCCGGATCTGGCGCTGAGCCCCAAAGCAGGAGCAGAGAAGACGTTCCACAAGGACCATCGTCTCCTCGCAGAGTTCCACCACCTGTCATGAATCCCGCGAAAAGTTCACCAGAGAGCACTAAGAAGAAGGGTGGATTTAGGCACACAATTCAAGTTGAATATGGCGATCCAGACTCGAATGAGCAAGCTAAATCCTCGAGCCAATCGCCGAAGCCTCCGCCCAAAGAACCCCAAGATGCTCGGGCTCCTCATAGTCCAGAACAAAACGGCAAACATCGCGAACGCAAATCTTCACATACTGCCAGCCCCGGACGCGAGCGAGAAAAGACTCCCAGAAAGCCATCTGTCGACGTCGAGAAGGCTAATTCAAGGCCTCTCCCTCCGCCTCCTGCATCACCGACTTCATCATCGCGTCCCCAGCCGTCGCAGCTCTCTTCCTCTACTTTGCGAGGGGCACAGACAGAGCCTCCCACCGTTTCAGTTGCTCTAGCAAGTCCCCCTGCCACGCCTATTGTTACCACAGAGGCACAGTCCTTGTTATCGGCACAAACGGGTTCTACAGGATCAGGATCCTCCAAACAGAGCCGCCATCGCAAGGGATTATCTGTGGACAAGTTCGGTCTGGGCAAAATATTTGGCTCGAATGGTGAACAGTCGTCTATCAACGGGACATCGCGTGTTCCTTCTGAGAGCTCTGCAGCGGATGCATCGTTCGTAACCGAAGAGAAGCGCCATGCTTCTGTGCAGATCGGTGCCTCTAATGCTGCACATTCTAAATCATCTCTGCTGAGTCCGACATCCACTGATGCTAATGCTTCCAAGAAAAGCAGGAGAAACACTCTTACTGTTATGGTCGAGCCCATCAGTCGTTCTCTTAAATCACGGTCCAAAGGGAAGAGTGCTACAGGTAGCACTCCTGTCAAGGACGATCGTGAAAAAGAGAAGAAGACACCGGTGTCTGCTGTTGCGCCACCTCCAGAGCCTCGTGATGACCCCGCAGCTTTCCCGGATGTCTCGAAAGCGGAATATAGCGTGGGTATGGGCATGCCCGCATCGACTACCAAAGCTCGCAAAGTTATGCAGTGGTTCAGGACAAGGAGTAATACAAAATCAGGTGCTGAGTTGTCAGGCGATGCACCTAGAGTTCCTTCTCATGTTGGCGTGGAGTATCCTTCAAAAATTCCAACACCGATAATCCAGAAAGCGGAGACCTCCGCCATTTTCAATCCAAAGGCTTCAGAGCAACCCAGGTCTCCCCAACTCGGTGATGCTTCCTTCTCCCTTTCTAAATCCGGCCGTATCTTTGGTCCCACCTCACCCAAAGACGTGTTGCGTGTGCATCACGGTGCTGTAGACCAAACCACTATCACAACCAGGCCACCGCCTGAGGTTATGAAGCATGTTCGTGAGGTCTTGGAAGGCATGGGTGTGGAGATCAAGCTGGAAAGCGAATACAAATATAGGTGTATCAGGTTAAAGAAAGGTAAAGGGGGTGGAGGACTTGGGTTCAGCAGCGTAGGAAGTGGTAGTGGGTTGGCGGCATTCACGATGGTGGGTTCGGCTGCCTCAAACGGAGTATGCTGATTTATTGTTCCGGTTCTTAATCCTGCTAAAATTCTACGTACAGGTCGATAAGCGAGGTTTACCTCTGCCTTCTCATCCATCGACTGGAGGGATGTTGAGAGGCTTACTCATGCGTCGCCAGTCCTCGCAGGTTTCGGCCTCTGGAGCGGCCTCTTCCCCGCCATCGATCAATCTTGACGAAGACAACGTCGTCGCGCCCACTCCCATGGCCAACGACCAGGCAGGTATGGAACCTATATTTGGCGACACTGTGCAAGATGCTGGAGATGAAGTTCGCTTCTCTGTCGAATTAACTCGGATCGACCGCCTTAAAGATACCTACAGTCTTGATATTAGGAGGCTCAAGGGCAATCTGAGGAGCTACAAATTTTTGTATGACACTCTCAGAGAGTATGTTCATCGTCCTTTAATTATGTGTCGTTGCTCACTACGATAATCACAGACGCGCCGACCTGCAACGATAAGTGCTATACAGGCTACGTGAAGGCGTAAAATACGGTTCTTTCCGCTCATTTTCTCGTCATACCTTTACTATTTTGCTTTGTGGCCTGATATTCAACTATACCCTAGTCCTTCCTTTCTTGATCATAATTGTCTCGAGTATAATCTTTTACTTGTTCCATTCACTTTTTTATGTTCATCACATGTTTTCCATGTCAACTACGTGACAGACATTTATGAAGCTAGACTGCACTGTTGCTGTCATTATAATGTCTGAGCTTTTCATTCTTCAACCTTTTCTATGATTATCGTTGTTATTGCACCACCCTTTTCAAGTATCCCAATGTCCCTGTTCCGCATACACTTCCATGTTACGTGACTATGACAAGATCTCTGTTCACAGATATGCCTTTTCTGTAGGTGCTACAAGGACTTCTTATTTACCCTTACAAGGAATGGATATTTGTATATATTTCTGCAACCAGTGCAACGATGTCTAGATATGTCGCAAGATACTGCGTGGATTGTCTGCTCCGATTCTTCGGTCATTCTTGATGTCAGGTTTCACCTGCGTCCACTACATTTTGAACCCCCGCTTGATCGTCGAGTTTCAGGTTGTCGGCTGTATTAGTCACTTTCCCCAAATTAACCGGAAACGGGGTTATGGATGAGGTCATCTCAGAGCTAGGAGAGGGTGGGGTGTTTATCCTCGGGACTACATGGCTGCGATAGTTGCTAAAATCATGGTCGTCGCGTGTAACGATATTGAGGTTCAACGAACTAGGAGCAGCAGTACGGGTCAAACGACGTTTAAGCCTAACGGGCGTTTGGGGTGATACCTCGACGCTAGAGGATTTGCTGATCGCGAAGTCTGCCCACTCCTGATGTTCGCTTTCGTAGGAATCGACGTAATGGTTTGAACCTGTATTGTTCTTGGTGTTCCCTGTTGTTTCAGCCCCTTGGCGTATGAGCAAGGCGGGATCTATCTGGCCGATGTATGGTCCATATTCTACGGCTGCTGTGACAGGGTTCGATAATTGGAGGTGTTGAAGGGAAGAAGGAAGAGAATCGTTGGCATTCCCTAGTTGCGGTTGATTGAGAACGACATGATTGTCTGATTTTCTGTCTGTCAAAACGTGCGCAAGAGCCGGTAATTTTGGGGAGACTTCTCGAGAATCGCCATAAATATCGCTGCCGTCGGTGCTGTCGTTTCTCCCTATATTATGAGTATAAACCACATTCGGGACGCGAGGTCTCTTGCTCGGATCTACCATAGGGTGATTGACCACATAGCATGTTCCTTCAGCAGGAGGAGGGGGAAGGTGGGTCCATCCATGAGGTATACCGTTGAACAGAGAAACCTCTCTGGACATAGGATGTGATTGCAGGCCCTGAGATCCGCCATACGAGCTCGTAGACAACGCCGACAGAGAAGGAACACATGACAGACTTGGAAGACCAGGATAGAGCAATTCTTTAGAGCAATCATTCATCTTGTTTGGGGTATCTAGGGGGCCACCTCCGGGGGGCCAGTTGTTTTGTGAAGTCCACTGGCAAGAATCTTCGACCGTAGGAGCAGGAGGAAAACGTCTGTTAGAGTTCTCTTCTTGATTAAGAACTTGTTCCTGTACCATCGCAACTAGATCTGGGTTGCCACTGCGCTTGAGTGTACAGGTAGGGCATGCCTTTACGAACTGGGCCGTTAGTTCCTTGGGAACCCAGGAATAGTGCTGACGAATGACGGCGCAAGTTTTATCGCGTCCCCCATGATTGGCACGCTCATGGCAATAACAAAAAACCTCGTAAAGTTGTTCCATAACGGCGACCGGTCTGTTTTCATGAAGAACCACAGCAGGTAAATCTTCAGAGTCCTCAGTGCTCCCTGGTTGTCTGAGTTTCCTTTGAGGCCTGCTCAAAGTAAACATCTTGCGAACCCAAAAACGAAATTGAGGCGTCTCGATATCGCAAGCTTCAGGTTGATGTAGTACGTCCCAGATTTTGTCAAACATGACTTGCGTGATGAGGGCTTTGTCTCGTTTGCGAGGTGAAAGGCAAGACAGATAAGTGAGCTCGATGCGCTTATACTGAGGATATGTAGGAAATCCAGGTTTGCTTGTGAATTCTTGGGACGATATTAAGGGTGATACAACACTTTCTTGAGACTCGGACATTGCAGGGCTAGACGGCGCGATACTTGGCACTCTCTTCGTATAAGGTTTGGAGTCAGAGATCCGCCGAAGGTTCTGGTTTCTAGAGTTGGCGGGCATTATAAGATTTGTTTGAAAGGAAAGTGGAGGAATAAGATGTGACTTCTGGATGGGGGTCGAATAATAACAACTTGAAGGATATGGTGGTGGTTCTCTTTCGAGCGGCTGACAGGCTAAATGGCACAACGCGACCAGTCACGTGAGGAAAATCAACAAAGGCTGCTCAGCACAATACATCTTCACAGATATTACCAGGGTTATATTATATATGGATATGAATGGTCAATATACGCTGAATGCAAGTAAGAGAGCAATGCAATGTGGGAGAGAAGATGATAATGTCCAAAAAATATGTAATAGTCTAATGAAACGAAAGATTGCTCGACTTGATCACCTCTCACCTCTAGCGCTATGTTACGACAGTCATACCAGTGACAGGAGGGCACGATAGGCTAACACCCGCCATTAAGACGATTCTTTGGTACGGTTTGATTGAAGTTCGGGAAACTCCATCCTGTTAGATTCCAATTAGTATATGCTTCGCGGTATCTATCCACGCAAGTAAGAAATTAGATATTAGAACACGAGTAAGCCGACGAGTAAGGGCTCGAAACGCACGTGTCAATGTATGTTGCGGTAGGGAAGTTCGGGGGATCGCACCCGATGTTGTGCGCGTTCTTTGGCTGGTATACCCTGATATAATCGATGAACATCGTGGCAGGAAGTTGAATGTTGGCGAAATCTATCCCTCCAAAGTTGAGAGAGAAGCCAAGATTAGCAATGATGTACTATAAGACGTCAAAATCAGCGTTAGAATAGAGCGAATAAGATAGGCTAACCATTGGTTCCTGGGAGACTGGCCTTGCACCTATTTCGGTCTTTGGGTCTAGACCCACACCAGCAGCCTGAATGGTCCACACAGCCTTCCCGTTACTGATCCAAGTGATATAGGCATTATCAAAGCTTTCAAGTTTGAGAGATATTGTCCGATGTCAGCTGGCGTTGTTTTTGCGAAGTGCTACTACACTGACCCAGGAGCATACTCGAACCCATAGACGCTAAAGCATGCCGTTCCAAGTTCATAACAGCCTTGATCTGTCACTGAGAGACCACTGGTCGTTTGTTGATCTGCACCTGGGGTGTGATGTATGCGTGATCACGTTTTAAGGGAGGGCGAAGAAAGCTTACCTCCATGGTATGGGTTAAGCAGCGTCATAGCAGGGTCGTATATTTGCAGATTATCTGAAGTATTAAACCACACATACCCCGCCTTCGAGATTATATGGTCAGCTAACAATCCGATATGTATTAGCAAGAGCTTACATCGAAAGGAGCCCACTGTGCAGATTGTGACACCTTTATATGATACCAATGAGAGAAGAATAAGCTTTATGTTAATGATACGTTCATACCTTTCCTATTCCACCGTCTACAGTAGCCTCGAAAATATCGATTTCTGGAGCAGATCGCCCGACGTAATTACCATTGCTATGAACAGGCCCGGGATGAGACTCCCCAGGGCAGGTGCATGCAGAGAGCCGTTGGCCTGGGAGATAAGACTAAACAGAAAGAAAGAATCCTTGTTGGTATACGAGCTCGAATTTAGACTACACCGATATATATATAATATCGAGTGCGTCCTTGATAAGGTTCACGCACCAGAACTCCACCTTTCGTTGGGTCTCCGTTTTCTGTAGCTGCGAGAGGTTTGGCTTCGCCGGGATAAGTCTGATTTGGAAGAGTTCCGACATCGCAAGAATCATACGAGTACGGCCACTGATACACGTCAGTCAGCCTGAGAACGAACCAAATAGGTGGGATAGCATACCAGTCCTTCCAGGCTTGCTCCATAACCAGCACGGCCCAGGTTACCCATTGTCCAACTATATTAAGTTAGATAGCGCAAGCAAGCATGTTTAGTCACAGTTTGCTCACATTGCCGGCCATAAGCCACTGGAAAATTGTCTTCAGATCATACAACAAAGTAGGTGTGAGTGAGACTCACTGAACAGTGCTCGATCCAGGTAATACAACAGCCGCTGTTGAAAGTCTTTTTCAGCATTCTGTAAAAATGATTACACGGAGCTTTATTTACTTTCAATTAATCCGCCAGTGAAACAGAATTTATTCCTTGTTCATTAAGATCAGACTCAAGTGATTGAAGAGAGAAGTTTAATCACCATGATTGTATCTGCGAATAGAAAAAGTAATTTAGAGCTTGCAAAAAACTTGCCATTTATAACATGCCTCACCATAGCAGATCGATACGTCAAATTATGGTTTAACTGGGGATCAACTTTGGTCAGAGTCAACTTCAACGATCCTCCTTCCGTCGTCGCTTGTCCAGGATCATACCACTCTAGATCATTCTAAATAGACATAAATGGTAAGCCTTGGGAGTGAACAACTAAAATGCGTCCTCACGGTTCCCCAATAATGCAGATTCTGCGCCTCCCAAAACGGATCATCGCCGGGATAGAACGATCGTCCGTCCACGTTGAATTCATCTGAAAACACGAGATCCCATTCATCATCCGGATTCACGTAAGAATTCTTGACATAGGCTTCATGGGGTGTATGGAGGTCGATGAGGGAGAACTGTCCAGGAAGATCTGGGATTTGCCCCGTAGCATTGATACCACCAAGATTAAATCCTCCCTGAGTCGTCTGCCTTTTCGTCATAAAATGGCTCACAACAGGAAAGCCTATTACACAAAGTTATAAAAAAAGATCCAACTCTATATAACACATAGCGGCTAAGAACTTACCGACGCTAGAAAATGCCAGTCAATCTCAAATAAAACTGTATGAAGATAGGATAACATACAACAGCGTTATACACATTGAACTAAGCAAGAAGAGACACCCCAGATTTGCGATACCACGTGAAGTGCATATAGTACCTCCTCTATCATTCGTGAGATCGCGCTTGGGATCGGGATTATGAAGATAATCATCAGGTTCCGGGTTACCCATATGGAGAGAAGAAGCTCCCCACTCCGCAGGATTGGGGGCTAGAGCATACTGGATGATGGTTGTAATGTCAATAACTCTCCTCAGTTTGCCGCACAGCGGTTTTCCGACTCACTTGGTCTGATAAGGAGTTCTGTTGACGTTTCGTCAGCTTACTCCATCAGCCAGCCTTATGAATACACACCGCATAAGGAGACGGGCTGATAGCTCTGGATGGGCCTCCAGGATTGAAACTGCTAGCAGTCGAAGACGCTCTTGAGCGGCGTCCTTGCGCACTGGGAGGCAAAAGATTGACGGTAGAAGACGACGCGCCATTCGGGTGCAACAATGGATTATTCATGCTATTAGTCACAGTTTGGACGATGTACTGTTGAAGTTGCAACGACGCCTCCGATTCGACCTAGTGAAAAGAGTGTGAGGGCAAATGAATGTGGTGTAGTTGGAATTAAGTAGGTAAATTGTCCGTGCTGAACGTGAAGGTTGCTATCACGGTGAAGTGACACATAATTCCGCTTGGATTTCGCCGTAGTACGTTTGTTTTCACTCTCTGCCTTCTCACACCAGAAGTCGGTGACACATGTGAAGAGTCAAGCGCTGGTAAATGCACTCAACGGAGAAAGCTCTCAGTTATCCCCAAAAGGAAGGTATGTAAGTTCGTGCCCACTCTGAGGCAAACACATTAAGTACTCAGCAAGGCGCGGCCCATTTGTGCTGCATAAGAACAATTATAATATTGACTTTTATCACAAATTATGTGGGGCTTCCGAATCATGTTTTGCTATCGCAGCAGCAAGTTCTTCGGCATTAGGCTTTGGAGGAACAACAGACCCAAAGACTCCAAGTTTGTCACGTAGATGCACCGCCGTTGTAGGCCCTATGGCAACAATCTTTACATTCGAGACTTGTGGCGACTCAGAATTACTGGCAGGGAAAGTAAAATATTTGCGCAGAGCGGGCATCACGAAATCTGCTGCAGATGGTGCAAAGAAGGTTATCCAACCCCATGGTGCTTGAGAATCTATGTAAATTAATGGTTATCAATTAGTAAATAGGAAAGTCAAGATGAAAGGAGTACGCTTACCTATCGGTGCAAGTCGCATAACATTATCCAGATCATCAGTGAACTTGGATGAGCCTTGAGTGGCATAGACTTGTAAGATGTCGAGTTCTACACCGCCTGTTTTGAGGATTGAAGGCAAAGTATCGCGATTCTTGTCACCTGTTAATGACAGAAGTGAACTTTTCCCGCTCTCACGAGTGAGATCTTCAAGTATAAAGTGTGCAAGCCGCTCAGCCGTTCCTGCCTCAGCACCTCCACGGATATCTTTGGGCGACAGAGAAGAATCGTATGTTTCTCGTATTCGAGCCAGGGCAGCCGCAGTAGCTTGCCCGACGACATAGAATGGCACATGGCTCCAGTCAGCTAGAGGATGAAGAAGGACTGACTTTGGCTGTGATTTCAATACAGTAGTCCTAAGGACAGACCTGAGGAGCCTGAGAACGAGGAGCCACCAGTGGACAAAAGCTCGCTCACGGCTGTAATCCAGGCTTCGCAAGCCCTTGCACTCGTTATTACCACTCCCGCAAGATGTTCCTTTGGACCGCTGCTGATTTTGCATTTCAGCTCATCCAAGTTGGTAATGACTGTCTCCAAAACGGCAACAGATATGGGATTGTACCCGTAAGATATCATTGATGTCTCGTAACGATCTGGGCCTTCATCTGAGGCATTTCTGAGTAGAAGAACGTTCTCCATTAATACTGTCAATGCAAAAGCGAAGAAAGGTATGTTGCGGTTTGAGAATACGCCGAGGTTGGCGTTTGCTCTCCGCGCCACAGCACCACGCCACTTTGCTCTTTCCAATGGGACCTCCAAAGATAAAGATATCACGAGCAGCGGGGAAATGGGTTATAATGGAGCGCCGTTCAGCTGCAATTCTCAAGCAAACTCACCAACGCTTCCACGCACTGATACATTGATATTCTACAAATCATGTCAAGTAAATCCTTGCTTTCATCTGCAGTCGTGACTACACTTTTTGCACGGACACCGCCGCCTCCTCTTTCTGCCAGTCGTGTATGGCGACCAGAGTTATCGGACCAGATTGATGCGCTAGATGCTGATGTGAACACCCGAGCAGGTACGATATACTTTTGGACGTTCTGAGCCTGATAGATATGCTGATATCAATGGTAGTTTTGCATCTGTTGAACGACGACTTCGATGGGTGCCACGAGCTTGCACAGACGCAGGAGGGAAATCCATACTCAAACCATTTGCATGCCATCGTGCACAGGAGAGAGCCAGATTACTGGAATTCCAAGTGCGTTTTAGCCATCGACAGTCTACTCTCATTCAATTGTTGACCGGATTCTTCGCATTTTCATCGCTCAGGTATTGGATTGCCCGATGCTCTCACCCACACATGAAAGAGATCTATGCTACACCTAATTCTAAAGTCAATACCATATCCCAAGCCCAAAGGTCCGCAAGTACATTTGTGGACCTTGTCGAGAACGCTGCAAGGACAGGGAAGGGCGTCGAAGAACTTGAGAAGAGACAATGGGCTGAGATGACTGCATTGGCAAAGATCTTGATAGAAGCTAATGGACAATAAGCTTGAACTGATGAAGCTGACCGCCATTCGCGCATGTTTTTGTTGGGCTGTCCTGAAATCAGTGCATGTTTTATATTTTGTTTATTTTCACGATAACTATGTTATTTTATGTACTGCACCGTCACTGTGCACTCGAGGCGAAGCTGTGTCATAAATTGTAAATCGGCTCCTTGATCGGAGATCGGCATTTTTCTTTTGCTGCAACAGGCAACATTCGCGTTTCTTTATACCTGCACTCGCTCTGAAGGGCCAGAACATTATGCCAGCAAAGAAAGAGAACCCTATCCACTCGCTGATTGCAGGTACAACAGCAGGGGCAGTTGAAGCGTAAGTACATCTCATTTGCACTTGCTATTTCGTCCGGCAATGCAGGAGCAATACAGACAGGGTGCTTAATAAATTTAGGAGGACAGATTCGTGACTTATCCAACTGAATTTGTGAAGACGCGCACCCAATTTGGTGGACAGGTACGCTGTCATCTACATCTATATCTGTTCCCAGCTCCTGTCGCGTACGAGACCAAAACTGACATCACAACATCGTAGCGCGAAGGACCGTTGGCGATCGTTCGCGAAACGTTGCGTAGCAAAGGTATCGTGGGCCTTTATTCGGGCTGCTCAGCATTGGTCGTAGGAAACGCAACGAAGGCTGGTGTACGCTTTGTGAGCTATGACCATTTCAAGAGTTTGTTGGCAGACAAAGAGGTGAGCGTCACTTTGATAGTCTTACGAGTTGCAGTGAGATGTTGACATGATGTTGGCGTGGTTAGGGTAAAGTCAGCGCACCAAGAAGTCTTGTCGGTGCGTCGTGCAACTTGGCGCTGTACATCTTTCCTGCTGAGATTATTCCTTTGAATCTGCACTTTAGCTGGCCTGGGTGCCGGGATGACAGAAGCCGTCATTGCAGTAACGCCTTCGGAGACCATCAAGTGCGTGAATTTGTCTATCATCCAGCCACCCAATCTAACTTTTTTGGTTTATGCACCCTAGGACTAAAATGATAGATGACGCCAAACGCCCAAACCCACAGTATCGAGGACTTGTACACGGCACAGCTTCAATCATACGACAAGAAGGATTCTTTGGTATCTATCGCGGGCTGTTTCCTGTCGTACGTACCATCTCTCTCAACTGTTATGTAAAAACTTAAAAGTCCAAATTCACTTATATTCTACATAGATGATGCGACAGGGTGCCAACTCTGCAGTTCGCTTCACCACCTATTCTACGCTTAAACAGTTCGTCCAGGGAACTGCCAGACCAGGACAACAACTACCAAGCGGTATTACATTCGGAATTGGGGCTATTGCAGGTTTGGTTACGGTATACTCAACGCAACCATTAGAGTCAGTGGCTCCCATGCACTCATTTGCTATGAAGACTAACACTAACCGGACGTATACTCTATCTGTTCAGTGTCATCAAAACGCGTATGCAATCCTTATCCGCGCGTCAACAGTACCGAAACTCGTTCCATTGTGGATACCGGATTCTAACCGAGGAAGGTGTTCTGCGTTTCTGGACTGGCACAACGCCTCGATTAGCGAGATTGATTGTGAGTACATCTGTCATCGGAGTCGTCCGTTGCCTGTGTTAACTTTCGGTTGCCTCGCAGATGAGTGGTGGTATCGTGTTTACGATCTACGAGAATATCATTAGTGTAATCGGCGGGCGAGAGCAAGAATAGGTAAATGTTAGGGCGCGCGTGATTTATATATTCTGGTCAACCAGTATAGGGTGATTTTTGGATGATTTACTGCAAGTGAGCATGTTTTGCGCAAAGCTTTGGGATTTTACCTCTTCGACCGTTCCGAGGGATGCAGATGCTGGATTACAGGTTCCATGATAGTAATTTAGATTCCGACGTTTTGCCCCTTTCTAACGCTCAATTTTCCCTTTCGTCAGAATGGTTGTTGTTCAACCAGATAAGTACACGAACTGGAATCTATTGGATGAAGACAATCCCTTTGCGGCGTTTCACAGAAAGTTTTGGGGTAAGGATATGTCGTTTGACGGTCAATCAGAACGTGGAGCAGATAAATACGTTGTGGAGGAGATGAACGAAGCTCAGCTCGTTGAAGGTTGCCATGTCATTCATGTCGACATTGACGCGCTGTGCACCAAACTCTGGGTCCGCGCTGAATATCTGCGTGTATATGAATATCTTCAGGCGGTGTATAATGGGCGAAAGAAACACGAAAGTGGCCTCACTGTTGTTCTGACAGGGCAACCAGGAATCGGTGAGTAATGGGATTTAATTTAACTTAGAGTGAGAATGTTCTTATGAGTGATCATGTGCAATAGGGAAGACCATGTTCTTGTACTATGCTCTTCATAGACTCCTGGGTGAGCGGCAACCAGTGTTATGGTATATGGGACAAGACAAGACGATCTGCTCTTTGTACCCGAGGGCGTCCATGAAGTGCCAAGCAACTATCACTTTTCATCCTTCGGCACATCGTTCTGGGCCTTGGTTGATGCGGATACTAAATCAGGTGGTGTTCCGGAACTTTTTACTAAACGTTCTACAATTTTCGTTACATATGCTACACCGCCAGTTCAATCTCAATGGGCGAAGTGGCATAAAAGAACATCTGTCCGAACGATTATAATAAATCTGTGGACCAGGGGGGAGGGATTCACCGAGTGTGAGTTTGTTGTTGAATTTTTGTAGTGTCCACATCACTTACCTTTGGTCACCGCATTAAAAAGAACTGCATCACATGAACCCCCCTCTAAATCGGGGCTATGTGGACGAGATTTTTTATCGCTACGGTCCGACCCCTCGTCTTTGCATCAAATTTATCATAAACCCTGAGAGTCTTGAAGATTATGACCTCACTCTCGAAGAGTCATTCGATACCATCAAAATGGACAGTCCGGCTGGGCTCATTGACGGGGCCAGGGTCTTAAGGATGGATTCCCTTTCACACAAAATATGTCTAGTTCACCGTGTCGATTGGAACAATGTGCGAGAACTGACTATGTGATATGTGATGTCGAGGCTGGCAAATCAGTTCAGAAATCGTGATCGGACAAAACAAATCGAACTTTACCATTATCTTTCTGCTGTGGCGAGTTCCAGGGGGGTGGCTGGGTTTATGTATGAGGCTTATGGGCAGAATCGTTTGATCGAGGAGAGAGGCACAAATCTCAGGCTGCTCCAATGGTGCGACTTACAGCAGGCCGAGAGAGTCGATGGTTGTTGTGTCATACTTCCCTGGAAAATGCCGATTTCGAGGGGAGGCGCTTGGATTGCCTGAAGCAATCAATAGATATCACGATTAAACCAAAGCGATACTTTGACTACCCATCATTTCGGAGTCCTTCCTCTCTGACGGAAGGTACCCTGTATGTGCCCTCTAAGAAGAACCAGGCAACCTTGGATTCTTTTCTTTTCCAGGATGGATTACTATACATATTCCAATTCACCATTGCTGAAACTAATAGCATGTCGCCCCTCATTTCCACCAATATAGCCCCGAACAAGAGGGACTGGCATTTTGTTTGTTGTTCCAGTGGGGCATACCTTGAGCGTTCCATATTCCCTTGTGTGGGGTTTTACACCCTATATGACAGAGTTGGATTTGACGCCTACAACTACTCGCTATATTGGTATCGCTTGAGGTGAGTCTTTGCGTGTAATGCATGTGGGAACAGAATGTATTGATGAGTAGTATGACGTGACAGCACAAGGATAGGTACAGGCTAGTCCTTGAGGGGGTGTGTTGGAATAGTCAAGGTCAAAGCCTGTTAGCCTTGTTAGACAACATACATCATGAGTTGACATTAGTACAAAGGGCTGGTAGATCAGTTGGTTAGAGCACCACCATATATAGGCAGAGGTCCTGGGTTCAATCCCTGGCTGGTACACTTTGCTTTTATGCACTCCCTGTGATCAGGTGGCTATGTGAGGTCACATGGCTAAATCCAATATAGTAATAAATCTAAGTGAAACTCAGCTGCTGCCCGAGAGTGAAACTACAATAGATGTTAGTTCAAGGTGATCTCTAATAAATGTAATGTAACATACCTCAGCTGCTGCCCGAGAGGCTATAGAAACAATTGAAGTATATCTATACTGAACCCCCTACTACTTATAGTCGGAGGTGTTACTCGCTACAGTATAATGACTCCTAGAAGTACAATTGTGCTTCTAGGCAATTGTACTTCTAGGAGAACAATGGTGACTCCATGGAGTGGTGGCTATGCTCCATAGAGAACAATGGCTGCTTTAGCAGAGACCAGGTTTATCCTGTTTTGTCATATAATACCAAGGTATCAAAAGAAGAGGGAGCGAAGGTGCTATGTGTAGGTTATTGTTGGCTGGAAGCCTGTGACAGGCTCCCCCACTACGGTATCTAGAAATAAAGGGACAGTGGTCCAAAAGGTTGCAAGCAAGCCGCATAGCCACCACTCCATAGAGTCATTATACCTTAGCAAGTAGCACCTCCAACTATAAGTAGTAGGGGGTTTAGTATAGGAATAGCTCAGTTGTTTCTATAGCCTTTTAGGCAGCACTGAGTTTCACTTAGATTTATTAATTATTTCATTTGGTTTCTCTCACATGGTTTTTTGCATCTTAACTTCCTGGTAGATCACATTCAGGTTGAATCTTAAGTCAAGCCCTTTGGCCAAGCTTGCCTTTAGCAACAGTATGTATTAATCTGAGCTCATCATCGGGTGGGATAAGAAGGTTTTCACACATTCAATTGGCATAAGGCAGCATAGAGAGAGAGAAGAGAGGACTTAGCAAACAAAAGAGAGACTTGACACTACTATACATTTAAGTTTAGGCTACTGTAATATTCCTCCAAATTAATGTTTGATGGACATGGTCCTTAATTATGGAACAAACTTGTCTGTTATGATTGGCTTCCGAGCCTTTGATTGTAATTTGGCTCTAAGGATATGTTACCATTGGTCTTTCTAGTCTCTGATCCTTGGCAAGGACAGGTTTTATGGGTGTATAGTCTCCTCAGATGATAGGACCAAGGACTTCCTTTATTGATGATAGCAGGAAAATGTAGAGTAGATTCAACTTGTCCTATGCTACAGTTATACAGGGGTTTATATACTGAATAGGTAGTTGTTTGGATAGTCAACATCAATTGATGCATTAAGTAGGGTGGAATGGGTGTATATTAAAACTGTGACCTTCAGAAAAGCAGAGTTTGGAGTGCAAAGATGAAGTGGAGAGTGGAATAGAGTACGAGGTTGGGGATTCACTAAGCCCGTATGCTAGACCCTTCTGTGGACCTTGGTCCCTAACTTGTTGGAGTGAACAGGTGAGAGTAGAGGATGAAAGGTGGAGTGGAGTAAAGGTCCCTCGGAGAAAGACTGGAAAACCTAAAAAGGGACTTGAATAAAAGTGAGTGAAACTAGTTGATATTTGAACTGCATGAATGGAGTACAGGAGCTATAATTTATATACTATTGGAGGGATGGGAGTTTGTAAGGAGTAACCTGTAATGTATGTATGGAGTTCCATGCAGACAACTATCTAGCAATGGGAAATTATATGTGGGAGGAGTGTACCATAAGGTCTAAACTACAGAGTTTATGAGGAATATGAGAACATGCAGAGGAAAAATATGGCAGACTAGAAGTCCGGTGCAGAAGTATTGGAGCAGATATCCAGAGTACCATGTGGAGGTGGGGTACAGGGTTATGCCAAATGGCAGAACACAAGTAGCATAATCCCAAGAGTACCAAAAATCTAGGGGTTTGGACTTGAGAATTTGTTCTCTTTGGAATTCTGGAGCTATGCCTTTTGGGATGGATATGACAGTGCAGGAACAAAATAAGGCAGGCTGAAAGTCTAGTCCTTTATTTTTGACTCGTTTAGTGGATGGGGGAAATACTCATAATAAACAGCAAGGGAGAGGGGAACAGTGTCCGCTTCAGGAGGTGTGGTTGAGTCTGGAATCTTTAGTAAAATCACTGTACTACTGTCTCATATATTATATAGAAAATATTTACAAAATGATCATGCTCAAGGCAGGCAACATAAAGAGAATATTTTGTAGATAATATTTATAAAATTATCCAAGGATCCACTCTAAATTGCATTATCATTGATCCTAAGCATTTATTATGAAACATTTCAAACTCATATCTTCCTTATATTCAACCCTTATCCACAGCATTTTTTTGAAATTATTTCTAATTATCTTCCAGACTGTTTTTGTTCTTGAACTGCAGCTTTGATTCACAATAAAAGCTGCAGTCCAATGATAAACATGTCATGTGTGACATAATTCCTTGTGTGACAATTTTCTTGAAACTTGATTGAATCCTGCCAGCTGAGTTGTTCCAAATCTTATCTAAATGTTTGTTGCCATTACACCATCATCATGGTGAATGGTTCTACCGTTACCCTGTTCCTTACCATCACCTCAAATCTTCACAATGACTCCCTCATCCCAGCTTTGATAGTTCCCAAATGCCAAACCACAAGCAGCTGTGGTAAGGTGTCCTTGCGTACACCACTGGTACCAATTATTCCCCCACCACTGAAACCACCTAGCAAATGAATAGTGCCAACAAAGGCTTTGACACCAATGTCAGCTTTTGATCCCCCCAGTAATTATTTCTAATCAATTTTTACAGGAATTTCTGTGTTATCAAATAGTGTGCAAACAATCTAGCTTAATGGCACCAGTGATAATTCATGCAGTATTGGAACAAATTGGCGGTGTATGGAAAATAGTTTTGTTTATTCTCTCTCTAGCCTAAAATTGTTCTGATTTTATTCCAGGTTTATACAGAGAGGTCAGAATAAAAGATACATATATTGATTTACTATCTACATTTTATTTACTGACTATACATCTAGAAACTAGCAGCTTCCATGGTGGATTAAAGAGATTCCTGGTATTACATTTTCAGGCATTACTTTCGAGTTTTTTTTGCAGTACTTTGTAGCTCTCATTTCACATTTTCTAGTGATACCTACATGTTTTTATAGCTTACAGATAATTCACACACTGTGCCATGTGCGGCACTTTCCATTCTGTTCAAAACTCCACTTTCTCACGCTGTGCTGCCTTTCTGTATTTTTAGCTACAAGACTCTCACACAGTGGAGCTGATCACACGGGCTGTGCCCTATGGCATCATCAGCCACTGCCTTCATCAACTGTGTAGTACACATATACAAATAGTCTGTAGTAGTATATATACCCCAACAGATCAAGGAGACTCCTCAGCAAGTCCTCCTGTTGATTACCCACAACCAACTTGATCTCATTTAAGGGGTAACCACTCCCACTCACTTCACTACTGCTTGTCTGAGTTGTGCGCCAGAGTATACAAACTCTTGGTTGTTACATTAGGACTCGCTCTCTTACTCTCTTGCACTTTGTGCAAACCCAGACCACAGGGTTAAGTGGACGTCTTTCAAACAGTAAGACTTTGGTGCCAGACGGTGTTGAGCTTTTGCTAGCTGCAGAAACAAAGTGTGTTCCCCAATCCTGCAGGCAAGCTCCTCAGGACGGGGTTCTAGAAAGAATTGAACAATTATACACGACCCCAGTGTTAAAGGGAGTACTTTAGCTCAGCAGTTGGTGTGGAACCACTGTTGATTAGATTAAGACACAGAAAACTTCTCCTTTGTTTTCCTCTGACCAGGCCAGGCACTTGCCTCCGCCAGTCTGGAGTAGGGTTGACAGCTTAATAAGCGGACCACCCCCTGACAATCATTTGGACCAAGGTTTTGTACTATAGCTTTATGTATTTTTTTAAATACTATAGTGTGGGTAGTCAGAGATTGAGATTCAATACTTAGCTGGGAAGAGGTAGATCTGCAGATAGCAAGCGGGGACCCCCAGTTATGATTTTTTTACATTTACAAACAGAACAAGTCAACATGTTGTCACAACAACAACCCGATGTCAACACTCTGTTGCACAACATGCGTGCACAGATCCTGTTGTTGACTACGCAGCTTTCTGAGATTCAGGAATACCCCGCTGAACCAACGGTTGAGCAAAAATTTAATAAAAAAGTCGAGATTGTTGCTGACCCCAGCGCTTTCAAAGGAAACCAGGCTCGATTTGCTGAATGGTGGATCAAGCTCCAAATTTGGATCAAGGCAAACTGGGATGTGTTTGCCAATGACTTTGAGATAGCAACAGCTGTGCTATCAAGACTAAAAGGATTTGTGGCGTGTCAATACACCCAACATCGGGAAAACATGATTTTACTATAACTGGATATATTTGGATATAATTGGGTAATAGACCAAATATAGCATTTGTGGCAAATAGTGCACTATATATTGGTATAGAAGCCACTGTGCTGCATTTATAGTACCATTATTGCAATGAAAGCAATCCAAAGCCAACTAGATCAGCTCAAAAGTAATTAATAGTTTAATTGTAGAATTCAAGTGATTATACTACAACAAATGAGGACCTGACTTGTGGTGCTTATATTGCATGCCAAAATCAGCAATACCAAAGCCTATCTAGCAAATCCAATGTGGGCCATTATCAGAGTATTTGAGCATGTGAGCTGGAATCACAAAAAGTATTAGTACAGACCTGTAAGTCTAGTTAATGTCCAGTATATTGTTTGGCTGATACTGCTAAAATTCCAGGTGGGTATGATATATTAGCACTTTGTGTCTTTGTGTCCTTCTATCACAGATAACATTAATAGTACTGCCAATGGTATGTCCTCAGCATGCCTGATCCATTTTAAAGGCTTCAGTTGTGCAGATCTGTAACACGAAGGCTGCAGAAACATATATTTGGCATTGCAGCCTCACAGGTGAGTAGACAGGAGTATGAGACATCCCGCTCGCTGTTTCGATGGCAGGACAGTTGCACCTTGCACCCCTGCCACACAACACCAAGACCGTGAGTAACTTCCCTCCAGCTATGCACAATAACTCAGACCACAACAACAGTCTTCATAGCATTTCTGTCTTTGGCTTAAAATGCACTGGAGCTTATACTTTGCTTTAATATTAGCTAGGACTTTTCTTTTTTTTCCTGTTTTGAGCAATGTTGTGCAATCACCTATGGTTATTTGGCCAAATAGCCATCTGTCTATATTTGTTTGTTTGGGCTTTTGTTTATGCTAACAGTCTACGTGTCAGGTCATTGTGTCTTGCTGTTACAATAACACATTTTTGGACCTTTAACTTTCATTCTCCTCTTTAACTTTTACTGTAGTTTTCACACTTTGTGCCATGCGGCACTTTCCTTTTGTTCAAACTCCTCTTTCTCGCGCTGCACTGCCTTTATTCTTATTTTAGCTACAAGTCTCTCACACAGTGGAGCTGGTCACACGGGCTGCGCACTGTGACATCATCAGCCACTGCTTTATCAACTGTATAGTACAACATGTACAAATGACCTGTAGCAGTATATATACCTCAATAGATCCAGGAGACTCCTCAGCGAGTCCTCCTGTTGTTTACCCACAACTAACTTGATCCTATCCTAAAGGTAACCACTCCCCTCACTACCTTTATAGTTAGTTCTAGTTGTGCACCAGAGTATACAAACTCTAGGTTGTTACACTTGCTTCCTTTTTGGTTGTTTCTTGCTTTTTGATTGGCTGTTCTTTCCCTTATAATTGTCTACATTGTTTAACATCTCATCATGACAACTAGGGTAACTTGTTCCACTGTGCAAAAGACAAAGAAAAAGGTTGCTAAAAGAATCTCCAGAACTCCATTGAAGACACCATCTCCTCTATCAATGCACCCCACTGCAAGGAAGCAGGTATTTTCTCTTTTATGCTTGGAGTTATATTTTGAAGAAAACATCTGATGTTATGCAACCATGGAAAAATGACATCTTCAGAACGCACTTTCAATATCAGTGGTGGGGACCTAAAAGTGAAGGAAGAAAATATGATAAGAAAAACAACCCATATCTCCATAACACCCCTGCACTTGCCCTGGTAGTATGCTCAGTAAGGTTTTTCTCACTCTTTTATTCATAAATTTAATTGTATATTTAGTTGAATGTGCTTTACTTGGCACTATCAATAATATAATGATAGAATTCTCTGAGAATTCATTTGCTCCAAAGGTACTGTACCTTTTGTTTTCTGGTTATTTTATATACTTATCTCATTTAATTCATAGATGGGAGCATTATATGAATCTAATTCAAGAGTTCAGGGAATAATCCCCAACATATCTGGTAAGCATGTTTGGTGATATTGAAGAGTTTATATGGTGAATTATTTGCTCTAATTTTTTTCTTTTCTTTCTCTCATATTTTGCAGGGGTGGTCCTAGTACTTTGGCTTTTTCTGAATCCTCCTATCTCATATTTGACTTTAATCCATTAAAGGAGGCAGCCAGGATTTTTAAGCAATAATCTCATATACTTATAGTGGTCATTTGTATATTATTGATATTTTGACTGTTTTTACATTTTAAAAATGAGTGGAAGTGATATGTAACAACCAAGAGTTTGTTACTCTGGCACACAACTCAGACAAGCTATAGAGATGGTGATGAGGGAGTGGTTACCCCTTAAGTTTCAACAAGTTAGTTGTGAGGATACAACAGGAGGACTCGCTGAGGAGTCTCCTGGATCTATTTGTTACGATAAACACAACTTTCGGACCTTTCCTTTAATTTTCATTCTCCGCTTTAACCTTTTACTATAGTTTACACTCCGTGCCATACAGCACTTTCCTTTTTCATTCTAACTCCACCTTCTCATGCAGTGCTGCCTTTATTCTTCTTTTAGACTCAAACTCTCTCATGCAGTGGAGCTGGTCACACGGGCTGCACCCTCTGACATCATCAGCCACTGCCTTTATTGACTGTACAGTACATAGGTACAAACACTCTGTATTAGTATAAATACCACAATAGATCAAGGAGACTCCTCAGCGAGTCCTCCTGTTGTTAACCAACAAACTCTCTGCAGCCTAAGGGGTAACCACTCCCCATCCACTACCTTTATAGTGTGTTCCTGTGTGCGCCAGAGTAACTAACTCTTGGTTGTTACACTATTGAGGTATATATACTAATACAGAGTGTTTGTACTTATGTATTGTACAGTTGATAAAAACAGTAGCTGATAATGTCAGAGGCAGTATCGTCACGTGA